CTCGCAAATCTCCAAGCTGCTTCTGGGGGATTATGGCCCACAAACACATTAAAAAAAACCGACGGACTTGCGGCCGGACGTTCAAAAACCTTTATGCTACATCTAGCCATTGTGCAGCATGATTCAAAAACCTGTCCGGCCGTCTGGACCCCCGTGTTGCTTCTGCGGGACAAACATTCAAGAAGCCATGGAGTTGCCGACACAGAGGCACCCAACCTTTGTGCGACCAATGTACTTAAGATGAGGATTGAAAAGCCTGTCTGGTCGGCGGGAACTCCAAGCTGCCTCGATGGAACACCAATGGCGTCTCCGGCCCTGGATTCGTAAGAGCTTTCTGAAAGATACGGACTTCTCAAGCATAATAAGTTGAACACCGGTCCGGTCCGGTCATCTCCAGCTCCATGCCACCTCACTGTGAGCCAGCTGCGCTTCGTGGAGACGACATGCGACGTGCTTTCTTCGACGGACCAGCCTGAAGCAGATGCAGATCTCAAGAATCTCAGGTGTACAACAAGTTCGCCAAACTCAAGAAACTAGAACGGAATCCATGAATGGGCTGCCTGCCCTTTGCCCGCCTCCTTCATGTCAGCCTCCTTCATGTCCGCCTCCTTCATCTTCCTTTCCACTTCTTCAATCTCGCACTCGATGCCCTTCTTCGCCTGCATGAGGTGGTCCAGCTCTGCCTGCAGCTTGTGATTTTTCAAGCCCATCACGTGCTCCTTGAATGTGCATCTCCGACGGACACTGAGCTCGATCTGGACGCTGAGCTCCGCTTGCACGTTCAAGGCGGCACTCTGGGAGTACCAGAAGACCTTAGACTTTCTCGAGGATGTTGTTTCATGCCTAGATAAAACACATGCTCAGCACAGCACAGCTATGCTTGCAGGGCACGGTCAACGGACTGGAAGCCTTGTTGACATACTTCATCGTACCCGTAGGGTCCTCTGAAACCTCTTTGATGCGAATCCTCAGATCAGCAAGTAAGTTACCAAGCGAATTCTCGGTCTCTGTCTTTTTGTCTCTGTGCCTTTCATCTTGTCGCCTGTCCTCTGCTCTCCTCTCCTCTCCCTCTCTCTCTCTCTCTCTTTCTCTCTCTCTCTCTCTCTCTCTCTCTCTCTCTCTCTCTCTCTCTCTCTCTCTCTCTCTCTCTCTCTCTCTCTCTCTCTCTCTCTCTCTCTCTCTCTCTCTCTCTCTCTCTCTCTCTCTCTCTCTCTCTCTCTCTCTCCAAAGCCAAGAAGCTGCTGCTGCGAGCCTCGGCTCTGGATCCATTGGATTAGCGCCGGAACCCAGGGACTTGTGAACAGCACCAGGGCCTCGCCAATCTTCTCTGTGCCGTGCATGTTCTTCACCACCATGTCTTTGGCAGCCGTCTGCGCAGCTTCGTCCGCAAGAATGTAGAAAGGCCACACCGGGGCACTGCTGCCCTCAGGTCGGGAGCCGACCTTGGCAGCCACCACCACCTGCAGGTAGAAGGTCTCCATGACTCCCTGCCGCGGCGCCAAAGCCCAGGAACACAAAGAAAAGTGAGTTGGATCGGAGATCGTCATGAGACCTTAAAGAAAGCTGAACAGGGGGCGGCCTACAGAGTATCCTGCCTGTCAAGCAAGTGGAGTGCAACATCAAATGCTAAGGCTCTAGCCGGTTTCGTGAAGGGCATGGACATCCTGAATGTTGACCTCCACCATCTGGAACACCCTGTTCTCCAGGTTGAGCAACTGCATGGCTGGCTCGTGATGCTTTCGACGGGTGCTCGCGGCTTTTGGAGTGCCATCATTGGAGAGTGCAAGGCCAAGTTTCCTTGCGGTGGACCTCGTGTCAGAACTCAGGGCCTCCTCCAAAGTCGGGAAAAAATCCCAGACGTCCTCAGAAGAGGACACAGCATAGCCCTTGAGGACGGACATGTCCGCGAGGAAAAGCCAGGGACTCCCAGAAAGCTTGAGCTGCAGAGCTGTGGTGTGGCACAGGCAAGAAAGCTGCATTAGACACCAAGCACAATCGCAGATCGCTGCCCTGACCTTTTCAGCCAGGCCCCGGACTCGGCTTCTGAGCTTTTCTGCCTAGCCGGGTGTGACCAGCCACTCACATAGCAACAGAGTCGTGACACTCATCACATAGAGCTGGCACTTAAAAACCTAGCCGGAAACTGCAAACTCGGAATAGTCTTCAGCACACGTAATGCACAGAAGGAGGCCGGCCTTGAAGACGTACAATGCCCGGGTGTGGCCTGGGCAATGATAACAGATCTTATCCGGTCTGCAATCCCACATGTCCCTCGTTGCTTGGACCAAAAATCCCACACGTAATGATCAGAAGGAGGCCGGCCTTGAAGACGTACAGTGCCCGGGTGTGGCCTGGGCAATGATAACAACTTTTTCCCGGTCTGCAATCCCACATGTCCCTCGTTGCTTGGACCAAAAATCCCACACGTAATGATCAGAAGGAGGCCGACCTTGAACAGGTACAATGCCCGGGTGTGGCCTGGGCAATGATAACAGATCTTTTCCGGTCTGCAATCCCACATGTCCCTCGTTGCTTGGACCAATAATACCACACGTAATGCTCAAAAGGAGGCCGGCCTTGAAGACGTACAATGCCCAGGTGTGGCCTGGGCAATGATAACAGATCTTATCCGGTCTGCAATCCCACATGTCCCTCGTTGCTTGGACCAAAAATCCCACACGTAATGATCAGAAGGAGGCCGGCCTTGAAGACGTACAATGCCCGGGTGTGGCCTGGGCATAGATAACAGATCTTTTTCGGTCTGCAATCCCACATGTCCCTCGTTGCTTGGACCACAAATCCCACACGTAATGCTCAGAAGGAGGCCGGCCTTGAAGACGTACAATGCCCGGGTGTGGCCTGGGCAGCGACAACAGATCTTTTCCGGTCTGCAATCCCACATGTCCCTCGTTGCTTGGACCAAAAATCCCACACGTAATGATCAGAAGGAGGCCGGCCTTGAAGACGTACAATGCCCGGGTGTGGCCTGGGCAATGATAACAATTTTTCCCGGTCTGCAATCCCACATGTCCCTCGTTGCCTGGACCAAAAATCCCACACGTAATGATCAGAAGGAGGCCGGCCTTGAAGACGTACAATGCCCGGGTGTGGCCTGGGCATAGATAACAGATCTTTTTCGGTCTGCAATCCCACATGTCCCTCGTTGCTTGGACCACAAATCCCACACGTAATGCTCAGAAGGAGGCCGGCCTTGAAGACGTACAATGCCCGGGTGTGGCCTGGGCAATGATAACAGATCTTATCCGGTCTGCAATCCCACATGTCCCTCGTTGCTTGGACCAAAAATCCCACACGTAATGCTCAGAAGGAGGCCGGCCTTGAAGACGTACAATGCCCGGGTGTGGCCTGGGCAGCGACAAGAGATCTTTTCCGGTCTGCAATCCCACATGTCCCTCGTTGCTTGGACCAATAATCCCACACGTAATGCTCAGAAGGAGGCCGGCCTTGAAGACGTACAATGCCCGGGTGTGGCCTGGGCAGCGACAACAGATCTTTTCCGGTCTGCAATCCCACATGTCCCTCGTTGCTTGAACCCAAAATCCTTCGGGTCTGAAATGCTAAGGGACTGGCTGGGAGAAGACAACCAGTAACCCCCCGCCCTTACGAATTCAGATCCGGATCTGAGTTCGTACGGGACGCTATACGAAGTCAGATCCGGGGGTCCCTGAGGAATTCAGATCCGGATCTGAATTCGTAAGGTCCCTTGGGTAGGGTCCCTTAGGAATTCAGATCCGGATCCGACTTCGTCAGGGGGGGGGTTGACCCAGATCTGAATTCGTAAGGGACCGTACGAATTCAGATCCGGATCCGAATTCCTGAAAGGACCCTACGAATTCTGATCCGGATCTGAATTCGTAAGGGACCCTACGAAAGGGACCTTACGAATTCAGATCCGGATCCGAATTCGTAAGGGGGGGGTCGCCCCGACCCCCCCCTTACGAATTCGGATCCGGATCTGAATTCGTAAGGGGGGGTCGGGGCGCCCAAAAAAATGGATGATAAATTCCCCGGCGCCCCGACCCCCCCGTACGAATTCAGATCCGGATCTGAATTCGTAAGGGGGGGGTCGCCCCGACCCCCCCCTTACGAATTCGGATCCGGATCTGAATTCGTAAGGGACCTTACGAATTCAGATCCGGATCTGAATTCGTAAGGGACCGTACGAATTCAGATCCGGATCTGAATTCGTAAGGGGGGGCCAGTCCCTTACGATTGGAAACCCAAATAACGTACTGCTCAGTCTTGAAACTTTCCTGGTCGCAACCCAAGTCGCTCCTACAAACCTGAAATCCTGAAGCCTCAATGTCAATCACAAATTACTGATCTTCCTTGCAATTCCTGAGAGTGGGGCCAATGCTGGAGATTGCAGACAAGGTGATAGCAGCCCTGGCAGCAGTGGCTTTGTTTGAAACAGACCCTAGAAAAAAGACTCTCTGGCGACCACGAGAAGCCGACACAGATGCCTTTACTTTTCATAGCACAGCAACTGATCGAGGTATTTCTGGTCTGCGAACTGCAAGTCTGCACACGAGGATAACAGCTTTTCGCCCTACTCGTGGCTGATTGCCGCACACGTCCCTGCATCTGTATCTTCGGCACATGCCGGTGGGGGACCTTCAAAAAGCAGAAGAAGTGAGCCTTCTTATTGACGGACATATATGGCTATGTATATATATATATGTCAATATGAATATATAGCCATATGTACCTAGACATGTATCTACCTCTAAAAAGATGTAGCTATGTTGTCTGGAGTGACAGAGAGGCTCTTGTCGGGGTACCAAGTTGTGGCACCTAGCTAGCTCGCTGAAAAACAGATTGCCCTAAGAGTGCCACGCTCTGAAAAGACTAGTCACTAGTCCCAGGAGACTGTGTAAAGCAAGTCTTAAGTCTGTTGGCCAGCACTCAGTGAGCAACACTGCCAGCAAACTCAAGGAAAACTGAAGCTCTGGTGTTTCACTCACTCTTACCCTGATGCTTCACTTCGTCTTCTTCTCCTTCTTGTTGACGGACTTCTCCTTCTCGGACTTCTCCTTCTTTTTCGGGACGTCCTTCTTGGGTGTCTTGTCCTTCTTGGCAGTGGTCTTCTTGGGAGTCTTCTTTTCCTTGACGGGCGTCTTGATCTTCTTCTCCTTCTCCTTCTCCTTCTCCTTCCCACCCAGCACTGCCGGAAGCTCCGCAGTTTCCTCTGGCTCGCCCAGAGAGCTCGACTCGTCCGAGCCAGCAGACGAGGACGGACTGGCCTCGCTCTTCTTCGCCTTCTTGCTGACCCTGGGAGGGTTCAAAGCCTGAGCCCTGAGCACCAGGTGTGTGTTGGCCAGCGAGCCCGGCATGCACATCAGCTCAGCGAGCTTCCGCAGGATGAATTGACGGGCAAGGGAGGCATGGAGCTTGGACCTGTAGATGCTGACGGACGGAAGCCCGGATTTCAAGGCACCCAAGACCCCATTGCCGCCGCCTGGCGTCCCGAGAAGCACCCAGCTAGGGCCAAGCTGATTGAAGATTTCCTGGTAGAGGGCGATCGATGGGTCCAAGGGGAACATCACCACATCATCCGGGCAGCTGGGGGCACGAAACAGTGCTTTGCCCGAAAAGCGCTTGGCATACTTGCGCTTCACGGGGCCATCGTCCTCCCCGTCCTCTTGGTCCGCTTCCTCTTCGTCTCCATTGTCTGCGGCAGCAACTCCACAAACCTTGAGGAGCTCTTCGCGGTCCTTCGCGGAGCATGTGTTCAAGTCTGCCTTGTCGCTGACGGGCACACGCTGCAACCTTACTTTGGCAACAATAATAAGCCAGGAAATCAAAGGATAAACTTTGGCATGCCCTTTAAAGTATAAGAGCCCAAAAAGTTTAAAGGTTGGGTATTGCAGAACTAAGCAGCACGTCAGAATACACATCGGTGCCCGGATCGACATAGACACGGCTTCGCTGACTGAGCTTGGGCAGCTTCCCACTCCACCCGACGAACGCCACTTCGCTGGATGCAGAGTTGCAGAAGCCGCGAAGGCGGGTGTAGTACCCGGCGGCTCTCATCTGAGACTCGTCGTAGCATAGAATGAGTCGTTTGAAATTGACCTTGTTCTTGACGAGCAGTTTCTCGATCATCGCCTGGCCAGCTTGAAGGGTCCGGTTCGTATCAGACTAGCATCAGAGTTCCCTCTAGTATTGACTCCTGTTTTCAGAGGACCTGGCACTGGGCCCTGCCTCGTTGCTTCTGACCTTGCCAGTGAGCACAAACAGGAAGTCCTGACTTTTGGTGTGGACCCGGAGCCAGGTCCCCAGAAACTGCTCGAAGTCGTCGCTCGTGATGGCGGGAACCTCAACCAAGCAGAGTGGACAAGAGGCAAGAAGAATTCGGCTTCAACAAGTGGAACAACTTGACGCTCATGCTGTTTCAAGCAAGGTACCCTCTGGTAGCTGTTCTGTCCAGCATAGACACGGGCCAGCCCGTGATTTTTACAGTCGAAGAAGCCCAGCATTCCTTGGTTTCTGAGTAGCCCCTGTATAATAAGGCTACCCTTTTTCCTGCTGTTTCGTCTTAGTAAGGAAACCCTAAACTAAAAAAAGAAAGGGTGCCGCTCAGGAACCTAGATTCGGTTTCCGAGCTTCACCAACGTCTGGCCGTCGAGCAATGCGGAGACGGGGTTCGCTGTGTCGGGAACCAGCAGGACGGACCTTTGGTCGTGGAGACGCTCCGCCTCCTCCAGGGCGTCCGCCTGAAGAACCTTGAGGCTATCCTGTTTGTCCTTCAGCTTCTGCTTTGCCTGCTCCGCCTTGCTCTTCTCCTGCTCGGTCGCGGGAGTTCGCTCTTCTGGCTCCCCATTGGCCTTCGCGAGGCTGCTCTCAATCTCAGTCCAGACGGCTTTCACAGAGCCTGCCTCCAGAAAAGATTCCACCTGCAGTGGGCCGATTGACCCACCCAAGGAGCCCTTCAAAGTTTCATTGTGCTTTCCAACCATACACCCTTGCAGGAAGTTCATAGCTCTCATCATGAAATCCGGCAAACCACTCCTCCAGCTCACATCACCCTGCTTTGTCGGTATGCACAAGGCAACCGGGTCATCCGCGAGCTCCCAGGCCCTCTGCATGAGGGCGGCCTCCTCATCGGAGGCTGCACGGTAGAGCAATCTTTTCTTCATGTAGACGAGCAACTTGCGCAGAAACAGCCACACCTGAATGTGGCCTGCTTTGGCCGTGAAATCCGATTTCGTTCCCACATCGGCCGTGTCCGACCTCAGCATCTCGCTGTAGACGCCTGCCATGACAAAGCCAAACTCAGCACCATTCGCAGTCTTCTGGGCAATCGCCAAGAGCTTGCTGGTGTGCTCGAAGGTGTTCATCTTCCCAAATTCTGCCCTTGGCAGGCAGAAAAGGTTTAATGCAAAATCTCTGTCTACACTCGACATTTTGGTACAAATGCTTTAGGGTTGAAGGCTTTGGGGTTGAGCCAAGTCAGCCAGTGTACAAGGCCTCCTCCATGATCCACCTGGCTTGCGGGGCTTTGTCGGTCAAGTTGGAGATCGTGAGCAAGTTGTTGATTGTCTCCGGTTGCGGCGATCTGCGACTCAAATGCCAATGCACGTTTTTTTGGAGAAAGGCACAGATGTCGCTTGCCTCCTTCTGTGTCTTAGGCAACGTCCGTTGCACCTGACGGACGAGCTTGAGAAGCTTGAGGGTGTTGTTGCCGAAGTATTCGGCCAGCATTTCGAAAGTCTCTCCCACAGAAGCCTCGGCACACAGCAGTGCGGTTGCACTGTTGTCGCTGAAGTACTTGAAGTCGCAGACGGCGGAACGGGCAAGCCGAATGAACTTCGGCACCAACTCTGGTGTGTGCAGCTTCGCCTTGGCGAAGCTTCTCCAGAAGGCTGCCAGACACAAGTGCAAAGCGAAGGGTTGCCAGGTATGCTTCGGGGCCATGTCCGTCTTGGAGAAGCATGCCACCGGCACATTCAGATGCAACGGCCATGTCTCCGGAACCTTGCCGAAGACCTCGTCCGCAAACCTTAGCAAGGAAGCACAAATTCCAGCAAGTCCAACTGCAAAAAGTATGAGAGAATTCTTTAACATTGACAAGGTCAAGGAACTTGTCCACTTGGGCTATTGTCAAATCGTCTGGAACCTTGAAGTCTAGCCAGGTCAAGTTCATGTGGTAGCCGCGGGCTTCGTCGGATTTTTGGAGCCGGTCCAGGACACTGTCCTTATTTCTGGAGTATCACTCTGCAACTGTAGGTCAGGCTTTGGGATCAGGTGAGGGTTGCGAGAGCCCGCACAAAGATTAAAGGCTGCCTATTGGAGTAGGAAGTGTCAGAGCGAAAGATGGACCCGGTGGATGCAGGCAGTGCCCCGTCCGCCTTCAAAGCATCGTACTCCGGCCGGAGCACATCCCAGACCTCCGCGGTCCAGATATCCTTTGCCAAAAGCGGAGCCATGGTCGGCAAGGGAACCGCCGAGCAAGTGTCGCAAGACAATCCGAATCGGACACCCTAAGTTGGGAGATGCTCTCTCAGTGAAAGTGGGCTTCTGATCTGTGCACTCTGCGAAACACGCACCTTGATCGTCGAATATGCAAGCAGCATGAGAAGCTGTGCGAAAACTGAACGAGAGCAGCAGCAGTCGGCGACAGCAGAGCTGACCCCCCCGAGCCTTGCCCCTGCTGCCACCCTGGTTCCTTGGCACGTACCTGGCAGCATGACACCCTACTAAGCTTGCTGGATTCTATTCTGGGAACAGGCGGGCATGGAAGATGGGGGTCTCTGCTGTGACATTTTTGAAGCCCAAACACCAATGGCAGACCACACAAGGAAATCTGCCCCTTGTTCGGGGGAACCCGACTAATCGCCACTTCGGGCGCTTAATCGCCTTCCTGCCTCGTCTTGGCTTCAGAGACGACCATCCTGGCAATGCATGGGACTTGGAAGCTGGGGTTTGAAGGGTCAGGAAAGGCTCAAATGGAATCAGCTCGCACCCTGCAAGCCGAACCCTTTTCGGAAAGTGGACCTGCTGCTGCCCAGGCAACCACGGCAGCACAGCAGTGTGCTTTGGCACCTGCATGCCAAAGTCAGAACTCGCAGCACTCAAAGGTGCAGCAACTCTGGCAATGCAAGTAAGCTGCCACAGACTGCACACCCCGTGGCACACACACTTTATCTTTTTCACTGCACATCGGACGGATGAAGAGCAGAAGACGAGCGGAAGAAGACGATCGGAAGACGGACTTGCTTGTTTGCCTGGGCTGACCATGCTCTGTCTGAAGGAAAAAAAGGGCGGAACTCTTCGCTGGCAAAGTTGCCAGATGACGATCAGGTGGTCCACTTCTGGCTCTTGGTGTCCTGAGTGCAGCAGGGCCCTAAATCCTAAACCCCGCACCCTAAACCCTTAAACCCTAAAAACCCTAAACCGTGCAGCCATGGGTTCCCACCATTTGAGCACACGCTCTTGGATCGCTTCGATCTTTTCCCTGATATTGCTCGTGAGGGTTTTGTCCGGGTGCACCCATTTTTTCCTTGCAACGACAAGTATGATAAAAAAAACAGAAGGGAAGATCAAGGAAGAATCTCAGGCAAGTGGCGATCTCTCATGGACGGGCTCTCGCGACTCTGTCATCTGCTGACGGACGAGCTTGTAGACGAACGACTTCGCACAGGCCTTGCCGTCTGACGAGTGCTCGCACAATGCAAGCATGTCCTTGGTTTGTTCAAAAACTTGGCAAGCACATTGACAAATATGCAAACCATGCCAGCAGAACATAAGATCAAGGAAGAGCCAAGCATCTACGTAACATTCGATGTCCATTTTGTTGCGCATCAAACACCAGTGTATCTCTGGGTGTTCGGCTCGCATCTTCGCCACGACCTGATTGACAATGCCAAAATGTGCCGGCTTATGAAGAACACTTTGACAATGCCAGGATGTGCCGGCTTATGAAGAACACTCGGTATCAATATTGCCTAGCAGCAGCCCTCTCGGCATCCATGAGCTCCTGGCGATACCTCAGAATCATTTCAGGGAAACCAAATGAACTGTCTTGCGAGTGCAGGTTGCAAGAGAACCAAATGCAATTTAGATGCACCCTCTCAGCTGCGACGCCTCCAAGCATCAGCCTGCTCTCCGACCAGGCAAGTCCTGAATGAGAACCAGATGCAATCAGCCCCCTGCGGCTGACAAGAATGAGAATGGTCCTCGGGGGATTTGGGGTTCAATAGGCGACGGACCCGAGGATGGAGCTGCTGAGGAACTCGCCGGAGCTTTTGGTGCTGTAGCTGACGAACTCGCTGGAGCTGATGGTGCTGTAGCTGACGAACTCGCTGGAGCTGATGGTGGTGGACCTGACGAACTCGCTGGAAGTGATGGTGCCGGAGTTGAGGAAGTCGCCGGAGCTGCAGACGGTGCTGGAGCTGACGAACTCTGTGGACCTGCACACGGTGCTGGAGCTGACGAACTCTTTGGAGCTGCACACGGTGCTGGAACTGACGAACTCGCCGGAGGTGTAGACGGTGCTGCACAAGCCGACGAACTCGGTGCCGGAGCAGTCCTGAACAGGCGAATTCCAGAGAGGAACATAACGAGGATTAGGACGCCTCTGCAACACGTCTGCTGGTCCTCTGGGTTTCACGAGGCGATTCTTCGTCAGAAGACTCTTCGGCAATTTGTTGCAGGAGGCAAGCCGGTGGTGCCTTCACAGTGGGCACCTTGTTAACCATGGCTGACACGCTAGATTGGTCGCTGTTGCCCGGATAACTGCCGGCATGGATGACATGCTAGATTGTCGTCTGTTGGCCAGATGTCTTGGGTGACGTGCTAGATTATCGGCTGCTGGCCAGATCTAGACCGAGTTGCAGGTTCGGAATTGTCATTCCGAACCGCCCTAGACAATCAAGAATCTTGGGCCCAATGCACTGCAGGAATGACATGCCACTACAGAAACACAGCACTGCAAGAGACGATTCCAGGCACCTTGTCAAGTCGGTAGCCGCGGTCGCAGCAGCCGAAGGACGGACCTTCGGATTTATTGAAAAGTTGGTTCTGGCATGTTTGCACAAGAGCTGCTGCGACAGATACAAGACAGACTGCAAGCCTGCACTTCAACTGCCCTGAAGCCGCCGAAATCCGAACCCCTCAACCCTCTGCTTAGGACAGCACACGACCAGCAGGCAAAAGGAAGCTGCAGGTCCTGATGCAAGACATTTTCGAAAGTAGTGCCCGTGAATGAACTACAGCAGTAGCGGCAGGCGAAGGCAGGCACTCTTTTTCACCTCCGCCTCTTCCTCCGTCTTTCCTCCTCCTGCTGCTCCTTGCGCTGACGGACGATCTCCAGCCTCTCTAGCTCCTCAGCCATCTCCTTCTCCTTCTGCTTCAGCTGGCCTTCCTTGGAAGAAAGAAATCACCCGCAATGCATGTGAGGAGCAGTTGAAACCCTAAGCCCGAAACCCTAGGCCCCAAACTTTAAGCCCGAAAGCCTAAGCCGGAAACCCCGAGCCCGAAACCCTGAGCCCGATATCCTGAGCCCCAATGAGACCAAAACCTTGCAAACGAGAATCGAGTGAGGAGTACGGTCGACGGACCTGAAGCCTCTGATTGAACCAGAATGGCTCGAACGCCGAATCGGGGCTGCGCCAGACTCTCCAATCGCCGTCACCGACTCTGGATTGGGCTTCGAGGTCCCGCGGCTCGCGAACCTTAGTGAAGCAAGGCGGCGGAAACTGGAAAAATGCGGTTGTCTTGGAACAAATTAAGGTAAGAAGCCCAAGCCAAAGGGTCGGGGACCGTGGCAGTGGTGATTTGCCCGTTGCTGTGGGCCCAATAGTGGCTGGTCTCCGTCTCGAAGTACTCCCAGCCAGCCGGGAGGTTGGCCACACGGAGGAGCGACGGGCGGCCGGACAAGTCCTGACAGGATGTGTGATGCCACAATCACTTTACAACCATGAACAAAATCCTCCCGCCTTCTCCGGAGGCGGAGGAGGGCCCAGGAACCTATCCTGAGGACGGAGAAAACGATCGTTAAAAGTGGACATCCAAATTCCTTGAGTCAAGGAGCATCGTAGGTTCCCAAACGAGGCGGACCGTAACCTCCTGGAATGTAGGCTACAACCTCAGTCGAGGTAAGTCAGCTCTCATTGTGTTGCAGGATTGCATGCTAGAGGGATTCAGTCAAGAGACTGGCCTTGGCCGGCCTCCATATGGATCCACCCTTGGAATATCCTCAAGGCGAAGGCACCAAGGGGATTGCTTAATGTCGACTAGCACACTCGCATTCGCAGGCACGGCTTCATCAGTCAAGAGGCGGAGCTACCAGATGCGGCCTCCTGAGCATGACAGAGGCACCACTGCACGAGAAACAGCA